AAGATTTGCTCAATTTTTGGATAGTGGAAGGATATGGGTCTGGAGAATAACTCACCAAGAGTTTTGGCTCAACAAATTGCAGCCAACTGTGAAGCATGGTGGTTTCAGCATGATGGTTTGGGGAGCTGTTTTGGTTGGTGGAAGATCGAGCTTAATGGAGTGCGATGGCAACACAAATTTTGTGAAATACGTCAAAATATTGGAGGAAGGACTCTTGCCACTTTATTCCTCAGGTTTTGTGGACAAGAACACAACATTGTTCCAGGAAGATGGATCACCGTGCCACACTGCTAGAAACACCCAAAAGTGGCAGGAAGAAAATGATATCCAGAAGTTGCCCTGGCCGAGCCAATCTCCTGACATGAACCCCATCGAAAAACCCCTGGGCCATACTCGACCGGCAACTCAAGAAACAACAACAAAAAAACTAACTTCGAAGAGCGGTCTACTCCAAGTTTTGAAGCAAGAGTGGGCAAAAATCCCACAATCTAAAATTGATGAGATGATTCTCAGATGCCCCAAAGGATCAACGAACTCCACGAAGCGAAAGGAAGATCTACTATATATTAATTAAATTATAAGTATATCAATTCATGTGAATATGACTGAAAAATTTCATTTTTTCTGAAAAGGTGGTGTCTATTTACTTGTGACCATGCTGTGTAGAAACTTAAAATACATATATCAAGACTACACAGTCTCCAAGGTGCAGAGAAAATGAATCTAACACTGAAGCTTTGAAATATAGAAATAAAACTACATTGAAACAAAACAGAATTTTAAATTGTACACAAGACTACAATTAATCAAAATGATTTTTTATAACATAAACATGAACACATTAAACAATACAGTAATTTAAAATGTATAAACACAGGGTAGTTTTTTAGGTAATTTAACTTTAAAACTGAGAAATGTGTTTAGAAAAAAAATTACTTGTTTCAAAGGTCTTTTTCAGTTTCTGGACATCAGATGCTGATCCTGATACTCTGTAAATTCCTACTTCATTCATTCCCCGCTTCTCAACTTCTCGCACACAACTAGTAATTATGAAGGGTATGGTGTTCTTCTCTTTCCTAAAAGAACCAAATGCAACAAATAATCATAATTTATCTCTGAGTAATCAAGTTCAATGCACTCCACTTAAAAGCACATGTTATCATTACAAAATAACTATCACCCTATCATACAGGAACTACAGGATTTGAGTTAGCAACACCTTGCTATCTGCAAATATGTTTGTTTCTAATATACATATAATTTAAAACCAAAAAAAGGACCTGTTGGTCCTTCTAGGCTGTCCCATCCACAAAACTTAAAAATATAACACTCAAAGTCACTCCCTTATCATTCAAATACCTATCAAATTTTCCCTTAAACTCTCTTAAATTGAGTGCAACCACCAAACCTGAAGGCAACCCATTCCAGAAGCCATCAACCATGATAAAAAAAAACTGTCTTAACTGAATATGATTTCTACCCTGCCAAAATTTATACTTATGTTTCCTAGGCCTACAATTCTAACCATTAAGTATGAAACTTAATCACCAACACTATCAATTCCTTCACCAATCTTAAACACCTCAATAAGACCCCCTCTAACTTCCATTTTCAAGAGAAAACAATTTTAAAGGTTTTAAATTAAGTTTAATGGGTGGAGCTTGAGTGTTTCAAAAATGTAGAAATTAAGGTGGTTTTTAATATAAAAAAAAAAATTCTACTGTAATGCTAAGTTGAACAAGCAGAGATTGGGTGTTTGACAAAAATAGAAATTAAGGATGGTTTTTTAATAACAAGACAATCTTTACTATCATGTCAAGTTTAATGGGTGGTGGTTGTGTTTCACAAATTTAAGATTTAGGGGTGGTTTTTAATAAAGAAAATTTCTACTATCATGCTAACTTTAATATATTTTAATGTTTTTTAGATGTTAATACCATACCCACAGTTCCAATCTATCCAGCTGTATAACGGGTATCAGCTGTTAGGTGGGGGTGGGGGGCGGGGGTGTAATCTGTGATGGATTTGCATCCCGTCCAGAAGGAATATGTGTCATCATTCCCATCCACTCGTGCCTTTTAAGCCAGATTTCAGCACCAAATCCTATATGCCATTTTAAGATGGGAGGGATTTGACCTTTTGATCATGCTCAGAATCTGCTGTTGATGGTGAGGGGTAGTAGACTTTGGAACATTGTAGGTTATAATAATCAAAACCTAACTCATATTTGACTTTCCTTTCTAGATGTCCTATTTTACATCCACATTTTCAGGTGTCTTATAAGCAGGTTATCCCCAATGCTTTTGGAGTTATGATCACAGATGGAAAGCAGATAATCAATAGAAAAAGCATATTGCTCTGTTACTTTCTCCAGGCTAGAAGGCAAGTACGTAATACATTGTTTTTCAAATGACAAGCAAATTTTGCTTTATATCTTGGCTATTGTTTCTGGCCTTATACATACTAGTTTGATCGACAGTTAAACTATATTTAGGTTATATATTTGAGTTAATTATGTATTATTTGTGTTTTAAAATTCATATTTGAAAAGTTTAATTATTATTTAAGTTTTTCTACTCATCACTTCACTGGTCCTACATTATGTAAAAAAAATAGGATAGAGCAAACATCATGCTGTAGGCTAAGACTATGCTGATCATAACATTATATTGTCCATGGGAACCTGTTGAAGTGTGTAGACATAACTAATAAAAAATAAAGAATTAGAAAGGAAAATTATATGTTAAAAACAAAAATCTGTTGAAAGGTAAAGACTTGAAATCACACATATGACCCAAAGATATTTTAAGATTATTCAGGTAAGTATATATTTCCATTTCTTGATATTAAATATTTCATTGCACTGTACATTGATGACAACAGCTAGAATTAGTATATAGTAGAGAAAATGGAAAATACAATATAAACATTTACCTTAAAAACTTTTGATATTCATTTAGGAGGTTCTAGAGATTATACAAATAAAATGTAAAAACTGTAAGATAATAAACGGTATTTTTTATACTCAACATGAAAATCCAATTGCAGGTGAACTATTCAGGGTCTGAGTGCAAATAACTTAATTAAATAACAAACTTTTATAAGAAATAGTATAAAAATCAAAATTAAATGTTTTATATTTTTGAAACTACACACTTTTAGGAAAGTTCTTGTCAAATTTCAAACAATTTCATCAATTAGTTGTATTTTTGGAATGAAATATAATAGTAGTGACATTAAGTCATACAGACTGTATGACACGGTAGTCAGACTTAAGACAGTCAGATCCAGCCATAAGCATTAACACTATCGGCCCGGGTACCCTTTACTGCGCATGACATAAGGTTTTATTGTCTTACATTCAAAATTTTATTAAACTACTTTTTGTTTATGTTATACCAATTAGAATAGCATAAAATCTTAGCTAATAATCCATATTTTAATCGTATACAAGTTTTAAGTTCTTAATTCTAAAAGGAAATATATAAAAAAAATCCTGAATTTCCACTAATGTAACACACATGACACATTTTGTCTTAGAATATCATCATCCCTATTTTATCCATCACCCCTCGAAAATGTACAAATTTAAATGTAAAATGCTCTCTATAAAATCATTATTGCTCAAACAGACCATAATATTTATAGCCTTCAATTTAGTTTGGTTACAGAGCTATCGATTAAAAAAACAGACACCTCTCTTTCACAATAGGTTGATAGTTCTCCGTTTCATTATATATTACCTATAACCAATAAAAAGTCAAGGTTTTCATCTATCAAATGGCGTATTGTATAACATTGTGTTCTGAACAGATAACAGTCAAATTCACTATGAGTAGCAACATCGTTCTCGTGGGAAAGTTAACGACAGGCTTGGATGAATTTGTAACAGCTCTTGTCGCATAGTTAGAAAGCCAGGAAAATTTTTAGAAGTAAGTGAATTTGTCTACTTTTTGCATGTTATTAGTCTCTATTCTTTGGTGTATTATTAAATAACTGTTCTTGACAATCAAGGGCAAGAAAAAAGA